CATTCAAATTCGATATTTGTTAATGGAATGGGCTAATTATGTCGCAGAAAAAAAATGAAGGAATTCTGTTTCCCACGGAAATTCGAGTGGTCGGTTCTTACACGGACCGCCTCTTAAATACCTTCAAATACGGCACAAACCTTGTAACCAATTGGCCACAAAGGCAAAGCCTTTTCCACGAAAATCCTCGAACACGGTGTTCGCCATGATAGATCGCCACGCCAGAGATTTCACAACAACAACAACCTTATTGGCTTTGTCTTCGACTTAAACATTTCAGTACCAAAACAATAACAAATGAAAAAAGTGAAATAAAAGTTAAGTAAGAAAGAAAGGAAAAATTGAATATTAACATAAAAGAAAAAATTACTTGGCTATGTACGGCTTCTACGCTACTCGTATGTTAAGAAAGTTTAATTAGAGTTCGAATGCATAACAATTCAGAATATTTTCAATATAAGAGGCACTGAGATTTAAGATGTTTTGATCGCACATGGACATGATATATAAAAATAGTGCCTTGTAAGACATATTCATAAAATTATTGTTTATCGAGTATAGGTTCTCCAAGAAGATACCCCTTATATGAGAAAGTGATGAGTGGGTACATTTCAACAAATAGTGGAATTCATCACCAATTTCGGATCTATTACAAAGGGGGCAAAGCCTCTCAACTCTGGGTATCTTCTTGTAGCGCCCAGATTCAATAGGTAGCAAGTGGCAAGAAATACGCATTTTGGTTACTGCCACTCTTGTCTTAACGGTCTTTATTAAATCAAGATAAGATTCAAATCTGACTTCGTTTTTCACTTCACTATACAAACTTAATTCATTGCCAACTGAGGAGTCGAATTTATCCTTGTTCAGACTTTTCGACTAATATTCTTGGTATTCTTTAAACAAATTTTCTTTTAAACATTCTAACCAGGTGAGGAAATGTCCTGTAGTCAAGATGTGGCAGATTTGGGGTATAATCATCTCATTTGGTAAAGTGTAATAGGTGTCTTACAGTAGTGAACCATGAATGCTTACCTACATTATTTAAATGGATGTTTATCTCTATGGTGCTATTGAAAATTTGGTTATTTTGTAAGATAAGTAATCTTAAGAAGTACTTAAAAATTCTAGTGAACATGAAATCGAGGGTGCAGTTCAAATTACCCACCCCTTCGCGCCATTTTTCCCCACCCGTTTAGACTTAGCCTCGCCCTCAGTATCTCTAACCTGCGATCAGGTGTGCCTCTTCCCCTTTTGTGGATCTCCGAGGATGAAACAACAAACGATAGGGAGTTTATAGCGGAGCCCCATAGCTAAGGAAATGTGGTAATCTACCCTCCGAGAAAATTTGGTAATCACCGACCACCCGACCATCCGTCCGCACCACAGGCATACCGATGTAAAGTAACTCAATCAACAGGTATGGCAACCCAAATGCAGGCCACCCGGACTTTTAGAAAGAAAAAGCAACAACAAAGTCGTGTCTTTTTCGGCGTTATTTTTTTATGTTTACACTAACGTGAATAACAGAGAAAGAGCTAGAGCGAGTTATTGAAAACAAAGGAGACGAATTTCGTAGGAAGAAAAACATGGAAATTCGAAGCGGCGGTGAGAAAATGAGACGTGCTAGCGGCCAGCAAGGTGAAAGGGAGCGGCAGTGAAAAAAAGCGAACATGAACACAGGAAACAAAATATTGGGTAAGCACACATGAAAATAATGTGTAACTAGGACGTTTGACGTTTTAGTCGTACAAAACAGCGTTGTAGTCGTACAAAACAACGGCAAGGGAAGACAAAAAAGCGTGCTGCACCTGCAAATTTGTTTTTTGCTAATTAGAAGAAAAAGTGTGCTGCACGTGCTATTTGTTTTTTTGCTAATTACAGTCGACTCCCGATAACCCGAACCTTCAAGGGAAATCGAAAAAAGTTCGAGTTATCGGGAGTTTGTACCAAATAACCGGAAGTAAGGAAATAAGAGGCCCTGCCAGGGTAAATTCCGACAAGCGACATGACCCAAAAAGTAGCGACAGAGCCTAAGATGAAATGGCGACAAGCGACAACCTCCCGCTGCCAAATTGCGACAGTGACGGCAAAGCCGAGAATATGCGACAAAGAAGGGTGGTTTGGCTAATTTATCACCAGCCTGAATGCCTAGAAGTAGTAATTTTCGTCAATTTTCCTTGCGCTTCAGAGGTTGTCTCTCGTCAGAGAGTTTCAGTAGACCCTCCTGAGCGCGTCGCGTTGGCCCGTCGCGTAGTCTTCATTTACGCAACCCCGCACAACTCCTGGAAGACCTTGGGACTAGGTTGTCCGTCAAATAGCTTAATTTACGCTCGCTTTACATCTCTTGTAATCACTACTTTCATATAGGCCATGACGCACCTTGTTTTCCCCCTCAGAATTTTGCATAACCAATGTTTCCAAATTCTCCAGGGTATTACAGTCGTCCGAAGAGAAATCGAAAACAATGGTTATGCAAAGTTTTGGGGGGTAAACAAGGTGAATTATGGTCTATGTGAAAATGGTGAATACTTTGCTTGTTTCTGAACCTCTCACATCCTTGTCGACCTCTGTCGGACGATGACAACGGTGGAGAGACCAGGGACCAGGTAACTTAAACACCGCACAGCGTAGACCACCGTTAACCGGCCTTCACGTACGATTTATCAGGTCAGTTAGTCTTAAAATGTTGAACGTGGATCACTTAGGATGTGCTGACAGTATTCCTTTAAGCGAATCCAAAAACGGATTTCTGATCCGAGATTTGCCGGATTTCGCGGTCGAAAAGAACGTGAAATCCGAAATTGGATTTGTGACCTTGGTAACCTTTCGCAAACGCGTGCAATATGCATGACAGCCTGAGTCTCTCAAGAAATGACATGTTTTCTACTGTTTGACAAATTATGCGATTATACCGTGCAGAATTTTGTGGTCGGCAGTTCGAAACGACGATGGAACATAAACAGATCAAGAAAGTAGCGTGTTAAAGTTGAAAATTATCTAAAGGTTGTCGGCTCAGTTTGATCCAGTTTCGTAGCTCGGTTTTCTATGTAACACGATCGAGTGCCTATAGCGTCCAAGAGCGAGTTTGTAGAAAGATAGCAGTTATTTGTCCCTTTTACTTATTTGTGTTTTCAAGCAATCTTTAGCGACAAATGGTCAGCACATGGACATTTTACTGTACCACCATGAACAATCTTCTAGTGTTTTCAGATGTTTTACGGCAAATGGCAGCAATTAGGAAACTCTACGGGAATACTTCAACTGGAAGTACAGCTGGATCATCTGACTAATTTCGAATCCACTGTGAATGGAACAGCGTAGATGACTAATCCGTTAATCTGGATTCGGATTCTTCGGATTTCAAATCCAATGTGAATCCTTTTTCAAAAAGGATTCACCAGATCAAAAATCCGAATTTGGATTTGCCGAAAGGAACGTGAAATCCGTTTTACGATTCAAATCCGTTTCTGGATTCACCGAAAGGAACACACCCTTAATTGTGAATGGCGATGTATAGGTGTTCTACACGCGAAAGGTTAACTGAGAAATTGCTCAACTGTAATGGTTTCTTTAAAACCCATCGCTATCCCCCTTTTCTAAAATTCCGACAAAGACAAAGAATTTTCGTTCAATTTCCGACAGCGACGTGAAGCATTAATAAACACCGACACGAGACGTTTTAAAATTCAGACGGGCGACATGGGAGCCCCCCCTGGCAGGGCCTCAAATAAGCAAATGGATAGGAAGGAAAGGCAATTAAGCAACAAAGTATACAGGAATGGACACTGAATTTGAACTAGAATGACAAAAAAGTAATAAAGACAATAAATTTAATCGGTTGTTTTGAATTAAATTCGATGTTTCGGACTTCAGTAGCCGGTTTTATTCCCGACTTGTCACGCGATTATAACATGGTTCGAGTTATCGAGGGTAAAATTGTATAGAAATGATTTGAGGGGAAACAAAAATTACTTCGAGCTAGCGCGAGGTTCGAGTTAGCGAGGGTTCGAGTTATCGGGAGTCAACTGTACATCTATTAGTCTTAAGAGCGAATGTCTGTAAAAATCGAGCAACCGGCGGCCACGTTCAAAAATTTAATTTCCCTCATATCTTGTCCATACATACTTATTAGTAAGTAACTAAACGTGGTGTAGTTTGTTTTTCAGAAGGCCGCTTGGATTTGGAGAAAATCGACAAAATCAGTTTTCGTGGTGGGCAACTTGAAAACAACCAAAATTTGAGGCAAAATGAGGCGGTCTCAAAACTTCGCTCGCACGCAAAAAGGAAGAAAGCGTGGTAAAATATTCCCCGATAAATCAATTTCTAAAGGGTTTTAGCCCTGGCATGGCGGTTAATTCTTATCTTAACGATAATGTGGAAGGCAGGTAAACAATTTTATTTTAGTTTTGGTTCTTTTTCAACTCAACGAAGTTTAAATTTAGACCTAAAGTCGCGATTTAATTTTTAGACATGTGCTCCACCTTGGTTTTTCCAGAAACTCAAGCTATAAGTTAGTTAAATATTGTACTAAAACATATGTAAGAACTGGCTTGGGTAATTTAATTTGCACTTCAGACGAACCTTCTGAACTTGAAGAAATTTTGAGTGAAATATGAGATATTTGCATAATTCACCAACGCCTTGCTGTTGCCGAAAGGGATCATTAGGGAACTTAAGCACTAGACGTTTTCTACGGGGCGACGGCAACCGGAAGTCAAATTTACTTCCGATCCACGTTTCCCGCCGACAGAGTCGGCCGTCGCGACTCTGCGCCGACTTTGTTTTGCTTATTTTGACGTCGCCTGTAAAACGTGAGTTTTGCTTTTATGATTTTCGTGCTTTTATATCATTTTGCCTGCGATGTTTTGCACTTAGTGATACGTAAAATTTTATTCTGTCGTTTTGGCGATTGTAGGAGCGATTGTCGTGTATTACAGGTCTGTTTTTTTTAACTTTTTAGGCTCTATAGCGTGAAGATGGCTACCAAAAAACAACCTGTAATGGAATGGACAGATGACCATGACATTCTCCTGTTGCGTGAAATGATTGCTACCGAATTTTTTCAGTGCAAGAAAGGCAGTCCAGACCGTGGCAAAATCTGGGAGTCAATCCAGGAAAGATTGAACAAGCTTGATAATCCAAAATTTATGATAAAGGAGAAGAGGGGAGTCAGAGACCGATGGAATCTGCTTCAGGCCAAGTTTAAACGCACGCAACGAGAAGAGCTACAAGCCAGTGGCATTGATTGCGAGTTATCTGAGAAAGATACGCTAATAGAAGAGTTATGTGAGAGAAAGATAGCTTTTCGGCCAAAGACAAGAAAAAGTCAGATGATAAAGAGGCAGCTGAAGAAATCAGAAAGAAAGCCATGGAACGCATGAAAAGAAAATCAACCGAATCTGCTGGCGGCAGCGCCAAAAAGAGCCGAAGAAGCGGGGTGATGCGGTTGAATTCTTGA